CTTTTCTTCCTATTTCAAATTATCAATTATTCATTTTAATCATTTTAATCCTTATTTACACTTTCAGTTTCTCACACTAGAGAAACTATAGGTATTTACACATGTGTGTCCTATTTATTTCACTTAAGAGTATGGCCTCAATATGCATCAATTTAGCTATAAATGTCTCTAGTTTCTTGTTCTTTATGGCTGAGTAATACTCCATTTTACAAAAAATCCACATCTTCTTTATCCAGTTTCCAGTTGATGGGCACTTGGGCGGTTTCCAAGCTTTAGCTATTACAAACTGTGCTGCTATAAACATAGGTACACATATATCACTGTGGTATGATTCTTTTAATTCTTTTGGGGAAGACACCCAGCAGGGGAATAGCTGGGTCAAATGGAACCTCTAGTCCTAGTTCTTTGAGGTATAGGAGAAGTAGTTTTAGTTGATATGTTTACGGGCTTTTTCTTAGGAAAAAAAAAAGCCTTAAGTACTGGTAATATATGGATTTCTATTACATCATCACAAGTATAATGCTTATGCTTTGAAAAAGACCCACGTTAATGATACCATGTGTTTCAATCTAAGTTATAATTCAAAATATAGGGGGATATTTCTTACCAGGTTCTGGGAGGTCTAACTTTGCCCGCTTTAGTTCTGCCATAGAAATCTGAAGTTGCTCTATTACAAAATCATCTTCAAAGAAAAAGTCCTTTGCTAGAGTCTCCTGAAGAAATTCTACAAGTTCTTCCATAGACAATTTCATTAGATGTTCTAAGAAAGTATCAGAGAAATACAAATGTTGAGTCAAAAATTACTTTAGGGTGAAAATATATTTTGAATACTTTTAAAAAGTGGCTTTAAAAAGAACATACATCACTTAAACATGGCATTGTAAATATCACTGAAACTCAGTGATACAGACATTGTCTGATAGTAAAATAGTCACATAAAAACAGGTTACTTTTACTGGAGGCAAAGGGGGAGGGGAAAATATAGCCAAGTATTTTCTTATTGGCTTAAGGGTAACCATATCTAGGCACTGATATAACCCGGAGCAAGAGCTTCACAGAGACAACAGATATAGCCACGCAGGAAGACACAAGGCCTTTCTCTTCTTGATTCCAAGTTCCAATAGCCATAGGCAAATCCACTTTTAAGTCCATATTTATTAGTGTTTTAGTATTTTCCCAGGAATGGATTATTAATTTCATTTGTGAGTTTTATTTTTACTTATAAATTTTATTGGAAAAAACTTTAAACTACAGACACAAAGCAGAAAGTAAACATCTGGTAAGACCACACTGCTCAATACCCTACAAATAGATGTGTATATTCCTGTGTGTATATGAATTTACAAAACCAAATTATACCAAGTCATTCATCTTCCTGCTTTTGTTCTCATACAATAACATACCACTGTTATCTCTCCCTTCAACAAATATGATTTTATACCATCATTAATAATGACATCATAGTGCAATGAATGCATTATACTTTTCTTAGTCATTTAGTAATGGGCATTTAGACTGTTTCTCATTTTTTCAAGTACTGTATTTAAAGCCACTGTTTGATAGTCCTCCAGTAATAATGTCTATTTTTAAGGCGATCAGGAAGAAAGGAAGAAAGAGAAAAAAATCTAAGCTTCACCTAACTATTGATTAAAGTACCTAGAAAGAGGTTTTTCTGGGTTTTTTGAATTGGCAAATGACCAACTTTTATTTTTGTACTGGCAAATGAAAAACTATATATATTTATGATGTACAATGTGATGTTTTGATATATCTATACCATTGTGGAATGATTAAATCAACCTAACTGATATACTCATCACTAAACATACTTATTTCTGTGATAAGAACATCTGCTTTTGGGGCAATTTTCAAGTATACTACACATTTGTATTAGTCATAGTAACTATGCTGTGCAACAGATCCGCAAAAAGGATTCCTCCTGCTGAAGAACTTTGTATCCCATGAGAAACATCTCTCCATTCCTCTTGCTCAATTATTATTCAGTTTTTAACACTTGGTGGGAGCGAAGGAAATACATTTAAGTCCTTGAGTTTTGGTTCCCTAAGAAAAAAACACAGCAGGAGATAGGTTTTTCCACAGCTTAGTCTAATGATATTCTGCCAGATAAAGTAATTTCTGTGATTAAAGTTTATTTACAAAGGGGGAGGAAACTTTTCACTTGTTAAAACTGATCAAGGGCCTTATAAGTAAAATAATTTAAGGAAAAGAGTGCAAGGAAATATAACATTATGTTTTTACTTTCTGTTTTTTAAAAAAATTAGTATTTCTCAGTAAAAAGTATAGTTTTGTTCTATAATTTGGTCTACTTATGATCCAGAAAGAGAGACAGGAGATAAAGAAAGTGAGGCAAGGGTGAAGGAAAAGAAGAAAGAGGAAGGGATTTCACCTGGGTTATTAAAACCTTGAGTCTTAGAAGACAATTTGTTGTCAATTGTTCTGTTTCCCTGCTTTAGTCTATTTGTTGAGGATTGGGCGTAAGGGAAATAAAACTCTTTTGAATCCTTTTCTTGAAAAGTATGAACAATACAGAGATTATCTTGTAATGGGAATTCTAATTCCTATGTAAAGTATGGTTAATCTGGCCCTCTTGAAGTTCATTCTGCTCTAGTAAGCAACCCCACAATCCTACATCAAAGTACTTAACATGTACTTGGAATAATGCCAGGCACAGTAAACAGAAAAATTATAAACATGGTCCCATGCACTCAACTAGCTTATAATTTAGTTGCTTTGCTGAACAGATCATTCAGGAATAATATAAGAGAATATAAAATGAACGTGAAACTGTAGTGTGGCCTAGATTACAAGTCCTTCATGAAGTTTAAAAGCTTTCAATGATTCACTTCTCTATATAGCTTCTCCTACAAGAGGAGTCACAGAATGCTTCAAGTTGAATTAAAACTTTAAAAATGAATATGGGTCTTCATATTCATAGAGAAAAACTCATTTTTAAATTTTAAAGTAAGTCACAGTAAATCAAATTTACAGAGCCCTTGAAATATTGCAACTCTTGTTTTTTCCTTCCAAGGTAAATATTTGTGTCACTATAGATGCAGTTTGTACTTGTCCCACAGACCATGACACTGTTGAGAGAGAGATGGATCTGCAAGTTCCTCACCAACAGCTTGGAGCTGGATGCTTCTTCTCCTAGATGAAGCAAACAGTAGGAGAAATGTCTTCTCCCACTCCCTTAGGTTCTTTGCTTTCTCTGTTCTCCTATTACAAATTTCTGAAATTCAGACTAATGAAAAGAATGAGGGAGTCCAGTGGAGACCAAAGCTTAACAAAATATTATTAGTAAAATTAACAAATTATATTCTCATGCTTAAGTGTGAAAATGATATAAGAAGAAAAGAAAGACCTTTGCAATGTCATTCAGCTTCTTCTAGTCATGGGAAAGAGCCAATGAAATTAAATTACCAACTAAAGATAATTTTTCCATTGATTTTCAAGAATTTTTTTAAACTACTATTAAAAAACAATGAATCTGACATAGACTGGGGGTTCATTAGAATTGAAATAAGCCTTGATATTTTATAAAATCTTTATAAATATTTTCTTACTTTTGTGTAATTTTAAAATTGTGTAAGACATAGCAGTAAGAACTCGTTCTCCTTCAAAGATGTAGATATCCCATATTCTGAGGTTTAGTGTAAAGGGAGTCTATAATTAAAAGCAAAACAAAACAGAAGAAAGGTTAAAAGTTTCCCCTCACCTTGTATTTATAATCTTGTAATTAAGTTTTATAAATAAATACTTACACGATCAAGGAAACATTGAAAAAACCACTTCATTGTATAGAAGCTTGTATAGATTTCTTGAGAATCCTGAAAAAACAAAGACCTCACAATTTCTGGATGGTAGCAAACAAAATATGACAATATAAAAGTTAGAAAGCTGTTGGAGGTAGGTATTAAAGCTAAATATAAAACCATCTTGTTATAAATCCCTTTCATGCTATTTTCTATTCTTTTTCTTCCAAAATTTTACTTCTCAAAATTATGCTAAGAATAAGTTCCCCTGGATAGCACTGTAATACATTTAGATATCTGTTAATATATTTTATAGGAAAGTATATGTATAGCTCACAGTGAATTAGTTTGTATGTCTAAAAAAAACCTCAAAATTCACTGATAAATCACTTATTTTTAAAAACTTTGGTGTTTGTATTTATCAGTGTTAGAGAAAAAGTTTGAATCTATGAATTAGGACCATAATAGAGCCTCAATATTGAAATTTACAAATCTATTGTCCTTCAAATAATGGGAATTATAACAGCATAATAAATGGAATGGATGACACTATAAAGTAAAAGATAACTGACTAAAGACAGAATTATTGTAGCTTCATTCTTGATGTAGGAGGGTATAAATTAGTGACACATCTACCTACCAAGTGTTGCTTAAGTTTAGACAGAAATTTATTCAGTATTTTTTCATGATGTTCTTGAAACCGCAAGAGTTTAGGAAAACCTTGGACAAAAAAGCCTAGAATACAAACATAAAAACAATACTTCAAAAACAATACCAATAAAACCCCTAATTATAAAATGGAACATATTTCATTTGTAATTGTCAACAATAAAAAGAAACATCCAATGGCTACCAAAATAGTTTTTCCTTCCTACCAAAAAAAAAAAACTGTATTTAAACTTTCGGGAATGAAACTTTTAACTATGACTTGTTTCCTAAAGGTGGTCTTTATCTTTGTAATATTATTTTAAAAACCCGTTATTTCTGAGTTTAAAAGAAAATTAAGATATTAAGAAAAAAATGGAAACTTATCAGACTATCTGTTCTTTTAAGACACTTAGCTGTATCTAGAAAGACTGAATTTTTTAAGGTGTTCTAATCTTGATTGCATTACTATAAATTACATAAGGATTTATTACTTTTTATGCTCATTCTTACAATTTTACTAGTATCATGTTTCCAAAGTTTGTATCAATTCTTAATGCTGTCTATGAAAACTATATTGAATGTCACTTAAAACATGTAGGCATATTGGATCAATGCTGCATCAAAAATTGTATTTTATCTCAACTGATTATATAACTGGTAAGATTTCTAGGAGGTAATGAATTGTAAATGCTAAGTATTAATTTGTATATTTAACTTATTAAACTTTATATCTATTTTTATTCTAAAGTTTCCTTTCAGATATTTATACAATCTGTTTAAAAGAACATACTCTTGGGGCTGGGGATATAGCTCAGTGGTGCCACCACCTATCTCGCAAGCGCAAGGTCCTAAGTTCGATCCCCAGTACCAAAAAAATCAAACAACAAAACAAAACAAAACAAAACACTCTCAAGAAACTCTACCATGGGGCCAGGGATTTAGCTCAGTGGTTTTGCCACCTGCTGCACAAGCACAAGGACCCAAGTTTGATTCCTGGTACCAAAAAAAAAAAAAAAGAAAAGAAACTCTACCACATTAGTATTTTCCAATCTAGTTCCTATTTAACTTTTAAAGATGTTAATAGATGTTCTCTTTAAAAAAACCAAACACACACACACACACACAGTTCTCTTTAAAAAAAAAAAAAAGGAATGGGGGGGGTGCATTACATACACTCTTCTTGTATATTCATGATGCATACTGCTTATTCATATTCCAAAGCTGTCTTTTAGATTTAATGAAACTTATTTTGCTTTTCTTAACTCAGTCTTCCAGACTTTTATTATCTGAGTCTATTTCTTCCACAATAAAGTATCTGTTTCAAAAAATTAAGGTCTGTTCCTTCAAGAACCCAAGGAATACAATACTGGGAAACACTGCTTTACAGTCTACCAGGCAAAACTTTCTTAACTAGTCCTCAGTTTTTGAAGGTGTAAAAATTTCCACAGATACAGATTCTATTCCTCCTTTAGTAATATTTTCCATTGAAGCGATTTCATAAAAAATCTACAGTGCCACTTTCATGGTCAGTTCCATCAGAATGGGAGATGGAAAAAAAATTTAAGAGAAGTTTAATTTTTGAAAAAGTCAATGGACTTTAGTAATAACTAGCTTAAGGATGCTAAGATACCTTTGTTCACTTCTCAGGGATATCATAGACTTTATATTTTAAATTTCATCTTTTCCAGTCCTAGCTCTCATTACAAACATTCTGAAGTGATATTACTTTTACAAAGAAAATGCAGATCAGAGGTAACCTTTAGCTATATTTAGCAGACATAGAAACAAGTATCTGCACATATACAAATGCATCTATAATAATGACCTATCCTGTACTATAAGTGCAATGTTAGAACAGTAGAAAACTGCTTTCTAGATAAGAATCATGACAATAATTGCTGTAACTAAGCTAGCAAAAAGGTTTAAAAGAAATGAGTGTTTTCTAAAATGAGAATTTTCTACATAATTATACATCACTTAAAATTTAACCTTCCATTGTACCTCAAGACACTGGCAGCATCACTGCATCGGAAAGCAAAATAAAGACTAATGAGGAAGAGTTCTTTTTCTTCAAGATGTCTTTTTAAATGATACTGTTTATAGGATGGCAACTCAATATAATAATATGTCTGTCTTTTGCAGTCCATTTATGGAATGCAAAGTGCCATACTTATCATGCAGGCAGTATTTTTAAAAATAGTTGGGAAGGAACACTAAGAGAGATATACAAAAACAAACACATACACACACACACCCCTACACACAATACTCCACAAAAGTCACATGGTAAGACTGTCAGGCTTAACAAATAATGGACTATGGAATGCCATAATTTTGAAAATATTAAAGAACATTTTCACTGTCAACTTTCCCACCACATAAAGCATAAATATTCACAAGGTGAATTTAGATGGTTCATTCTAAGAGTAACTAATGTTAAAACTGTTCTAAATTTGATATTATCACATAGATGCACTAGAAAAATAATTTTACATTAAACAGACAGATGTCACTTTTATTTCCAAGTTGCAATCCAAACTCACTAAAATAAAGTTTAATATATATACTTAGCCAAATAAGGAAAAGGTTATTAAAAATAATCTCCTAATTTTAAAACCAAAAGTTTTGCATGTTTTGAAATATTTTAAATGCTCAAAACATTTTATCAGCTTTTTATTTAAGATGGAACAAAAGTTATAGTGGGAAGAACTGAAAGCCACATTTAAAATATAAAAAACTACTTAAATACTTTTCCTTTAAATAGCTAAGTGTCATTTCTCAACTAATATTCTTTGACAAGGAGTTATACATCACAATATCAAGTCAAAGGTAATATTTTGCTCAAGTGATAACTGCATGACAATCAAGTTTTGATCAAAAGATACCTTTTATTTTTCCCAATAATGTATAGCTTTTCCTAAATTCTTCCAAACCTAAATTACTTTCTTTTGACCAAGAACAAGAAAGAATTTTAAAATGTCAACACACTTTAAGGAAAACACGAAGAAAAATCAATGTGAACAGAAAAGTTAGAAAAGTTCATAAGAGAAAAATAAAAGCAGTAATAAATACTAATTAACTGAACAAGCTCGGAGAAACAGTTCATTGTACTTAATTCTATTCAGCATCTTTGTTTTAATTCATCTTTTTTCTTTGTTATTTATTATTTATGATAAATATGGGGTTTTCTTACCATGCATGGCATGTTTGGGGCCTGAGAAGAGTTTGACGAGGGCCCAAAAAGCGTCTTCCTCGTTCATGTACATGAGAAGCAAAGCTGTGATTTGGCTCATTCCCTGACAGTACCCAACTTCCTAAAGAGCAAATGAGAACAAAAGCACTGGGGAGTTTAAAATCAAATGCCATGTGAATGCACACAGAAAAAGCTGAACTACTAAATATCAAGAAACACCTGATACATTATGTAGTGGGCAATTCCAGAGATAAACAGTCTTTACAGCACTCTGCCATATATTACAAAAGAAAACTGCTGAAGAATAAATGTACAGGTGTAGAAAAGTCTAATCTACACTTTTTTAAAGCTATCTTCTGTTTGATACTGTTATACTTTCTTTGAAGATTGCTAATATTTATTTCATTTTATGTATGATTCTTACCTCACCATTCCTCCTTTTTTGCTCCGATGCCGGAAATGTCCCATCCTTCTAGTTTGCTTACCCCCTTGTATTTCTAGACTCTTAGATACTTTTGGGGGTGCCCATCTAGGCTATGTCCCCTCTCTTCACAGTCTCTGCTTATGATGTGGCCTTAGAGACTCGTGTTTTGTGTCATAGGAACCACAGCTGATTGACAGATGAGGATGCCTGGCCCCAAGAGAACAATTAATTGGTTGCACTGATTAATCAGACACTCTGTCTAGGAAATCTAAACAAAGCAAGAGAGACTGTAATCACTGGGATTTTGTAGTTGAACAGTATGGTCACAGTGAGTCTGGTGGTGAAATTTTAGCCATAGGATAACTAGCAAGTAGCCAAAGGAAATAATCTGGAGAGGTAAACACTGGGATGAATAGTCCACAGAGATAATCAGATTTTTTTATGGCCTTCCACTGGAATAGAGAAAAAGTATAGCTGTCTTTCTCATGGAACGCATATCACTTTCCAGCTCCAACCCCCATGAGGCTCTGCTACTGCCTAATTTCTATGAGAAATCCCTTTAGTAAATCCCTTTTTTACTTTCTCTGGTGGGAGCAAATTTCTGCTCTTATAACATAAAGGTTGAAGATACAACAGAACTTATATATCTCAAGGTTCAAAGACTGTCCTCCCTAGAACCTAGCCAACAAATATTTATTTAATATCTATGTTAGGTCTTTCCCTAAATTATCTTCTCCCCCAAGAATGGTAAATGCCTTAAGGGCAGTATGCCTAGTACCAAAGAGTTTAGTTTTAGTGTATCTCTACTAGGCCTCACTTAATAGAGAAATGTGATACTGAAAGGCAAACTCCGAGGAATAACGAAGAGTTATCAAGAGTCAAGTTAAAATTAATCTAGCCATCAACTTCCTGTCCTGCTAGGCTCATTCCTAGTCTTTCTTGCTTAAATAAAAACAAAACAACAAAGAAACTCTATTCACAAAACACAACAAAATAAAGTGGAGTGAAAAAGTATGGTCATATCTAGGTTTTTCCACTTGCAAATCAGCTCTGCTCTAGGACCCCAGGATTACCAGAGGAGCTAAAAGAGTCTGTGGAAACCATTTGGTCCTGAGATGAAGAACTCTACCTAGAGGGACCCTGTTAGAGAAGGAGTGCCAAAAGGAACCTCAGAATACAGCTCACACAACTGGGCAGGCATGCTCAAACTTACCGTATTATATATAGAATATGCAGCAAGAACATGGAATAAAGACTGTTGCCTAGAAAAATAAAAATTTATATTAAACACAATTTAGTTATTTCACATACTTTTCAAATTATAAACATAAAAAAGCTGACTGAAAACAAATAGATAATCCAGATAAAATTGCTACTGTAATAAAGAAATTCTCCCAAGCTGAAAGTGAAACAATACTTTAAGCAGTCTAAATTTGAGGATAAAAGGCTTCAAAATTTCTTAAATTTGTTGCCTTCTTTCACTGAACTTACTCTGAAATAATCCCAATAGAACTAGCTACTCATTTAACAGGATAGTGCATGACCTTTTGAAGATTCTGTTATAGTACTAGCTAAGATCAATACCTGGTAGGTCTCGGGCAATATCCTATAAGAGAAGTTGGTTATGTTCTACATTACCCTCAAATAAAAGATGCTGTTTTTTCCACAATCAGGAAACAGGAATACAAGATTCAAAGGGTGGAGTGGCTCCATTCACTCTTAACTTTAAGGATTCACTAGTAAGTTTCTGCTTCCTGTGCCTACAACCTTAGGGTCTGCTGATCTGGAGATCTTAGTTCCAGAAGGAGGAATGTTTTCATTAGCACATGTAACAATGAATTGAACTGGAAGCTGAAACTGCTACCTAACTACTCTGGGCTCCTAATGCCACTTTAGGCTCCTTATACCTCAAAAGGGAGGTGATCAATCCTGATTATTAAGGGAATGAGGCACTACTATCCAAAGGACAAAAGGAGGAATATCTGGGGAATCTCTTAGTATTACCAAGCCTTGTCATTAAAGTCAATCAAAAACTACAACAACCCAATTCAGGCAGGACTGCTAATGGTCCAGACTGTTTAGGAAGTTCGAGTCACTGAGCTGAGGCACTTTCTGAAGACAAATGGTATATGAAGTGGGGAGTAGAAAAGGGTAGCCACAGATACCATTTATAACTATATAACTACTTGTAGAAATGAATATAATTGTTGCAAGTACTTCTTCCTTTTTATGGTATGAATATTCTGTGTACATCTTGTATGTAATTTTTCTTCTTTCTCTAATGTATTATAAGATATATTAATAGTTAACTTTATATCACAGTATTTAAGTTACAGGATATCAAAACAGAATTGTGATCATCACCCATGGACTTCACATCTACTTGGGAAAGGGTTGGCATGTTTTCAGTTTTAACTAGAACAGTTGTATCATGTTAGAAGTATGACTTAAGAATGGTTTGAGGAGATGCATGTGAGTACTAAATTGACAAGAGCGGATTATGATGTTGGCTTTGGGTCAATTTGACTAGGCTGCTCTCCCCCATTTTTAAACACTGATTCAGGTGTTGCTGTAAAGGTATTTTGTAGATGTAATAAAAATATATCATCCATTCGATTTAAGTAGGGGAGATTAGCCTGGGTGATCTGGATAGGCTTGATCCAATTTGGCTTCTCTGCATAAGAAATTCCACCTAGGGACAGCAGCTTTGGTTCATGCCTGGGAATTCTAGCTTATCCTTCCTGGTGATCTGCTCTGTGGATTCTGGATTTGCCTATCATCTCCATAATTGGATAAGGCAGTCTCTTGGTGTACACCTGCTACTGGCTTCTGCTTCACTGGCTGAACCTGACTGATTATAAGTCAGCAAAACTGTACATTTCATTCACAAACATCACAGTGATGATATGCCAATGTGCAGTACTAATGCCCTGACCATATACTCAGTTCATTAATTTCTCATTTCATTTCATTCATCTTCATTTCTTTTAGTTTCCTTTATACATAAGGTCAAAGTTATAGAGATGCACTTATCAGTGACAATTTTCAAACACAATCTCATTTCTTTTCTACAGCTTTGAATAAAAGAATCTATTATACTTTTATTAAATTTTCA